AGGTTACGAAGTCTATAGGGCAGGGTAGGGCTAGGGTAAGAACGTCGTAGGGCAGGGTAGGACAAGGGTACGAAGTTTTACGATAGGGCAGGGTTAGGGTACAAAAAAGTCTTAACCTGCATGACTCTAATGCCAAGTAATTTGAATTGTTTTTTTTTCTTTATTTTATTAATTATTTTATTAATAAAAGAAAAGAAATGGACGTCGATTTGGTGGTGAAAAATATATTGAAGTAGAGCATACTTCAATTCGTTGTCGAATATTTGATGGAATTGAATGTAAAGGAAATCGTTCATTTTTAATTGATAACATTCCGTGTATTAAATATTCTTCGCATTATTTTATTTCGACACTTTTATATTCAATTTTTTTGGGTTTATTTGCTGTTGATAGATATTCTCTTGGTCATATTGGAATTGCTGTTGGAAAAATGATTACACTCGGTGGATTAGGACTTTGGTGGATTATTGATATTATTCTTCTCATTTGCGGAAAATTAAATCCTCAAGATGATTCAAATTGGATTATTCAACATTAAGTATTTTTGAGATATTTAACATCAATTATATATAGAACAATATATTGATTACTTGATGAAATAGAATTTAAAAATTTTTCAAAAATAAAATTTTGAAGGATTCTTTTTTCGTGTCTATACATTTATTTTATTTCTTGGCAAAACAATTTCAACCAACATTTATTTTTTCTTTTCTTTTTTCAAATAAATGTTTTGAATAAAAAACGTTGAAAAGATTTTCAAAAGAAAAACAAATTATATTTTTTCATCTTTATTTGCGAAGTGAATACAACGGGAAAATTCAAATTAACGAACATTTTTTTCTCATTGGATTTCATTTGACTACAACGTAGAAAGCATTTTTTCTTTCAGTCAAAATAATAAACTGCACCGATTTCTATTAGAGAATGAAAAATCTTCGTCGAGCCTTAGGTTTTTTGAGAAATCAAAGCAAATACACATAAATTTCAAGTTCATCGATAAAAATCCACTGTAAAATTAATACCATCTCGCCAAAAAACACTTCAGATATAGTCTTGAAATTTATTGAGAGAAATAGAAAGCTCTGAAATCTGGCGCAGTTTATAAATTTAAGAAAATCTCAACGTATTCTGATGAGTTCACAATGATATTCGTTGAAGTTAAACAAAACGTGATATCCTAGATCTAATGAACTGCACTGGACTCTGAAACTTGGTTCTGACTTCGACTCCGTCGCAGTAGGAGGAATTAAAAAGAATTTTTATTGAAATGACGATCTGAGGTATATTAGTACAACAGTCAAATAATTCGACTCGTAGAAACAAGTTTATTCATGAAATACTATATAAAAAACAAAAATATTCTAGTTTTAATATTTTTTAAATAAATTGTATGAAAAAATCAAGACGCAAGAAAGATATTTACATTAACCACTATAACATAAATGAAAAATAAAATGCACTGATCCATGAAATTCTCGTTATTACGCAAGTCATTAAGATTATCTTCGACATTGAGATCTAATTATTTAGGAATTATGCAGATTTTTGTTAAAACGTTTTTACACTTGATGTTTTTGTTGTTCATGAAAAAAGCTAAAGACATAAAACCTGTTACAATATAAAATATGCATAAATAAATAAAAATTGTTCATTTCTTAGTGATTCGTTTACTTATTTATCCCTTCCGAATATCAAATATTAATATGATTCAGACACCGCTAAACTCCAAAACGCGTAGGAGTTTTTCGGAGTCGGAATCGAAATCAAAAAGTGTGTGACTAAGATCATCTATATTTTCATTTGTATTTTGTATCGAAATTTCACGTTATGAATGTTGCATTAAAACTTCTTGCTCTTATGTTCGCCACTCAGAGATGTGTTGCAGAGATAAAAGTTGGGGGGGGAGGTGCTGAACAGTTTGTAGAAAAAAGTGATACTGTTCAATTTATTTATCATTTATCATTACCAACAGCATTAATCACTTATGATAATGTAAAAATTAATTATCAAAATGTAACTGATTATGTTCTTTAGATTAATTCAGGATTAATAGATATTTGTATGCACATCTTTGCCAGTCAAATAGTCTTTCATTCGAAGTCGATCGTTGTAAATAAACAATAGCTCGATCAAGAATTGGTAGTATCGACTTTTTCGCATTATTAAGATAAAAAACGCTTCATTTAGGTCTTGCTATAGTTGATGTAATACTTCTTGTGTTTGAAACTGTTCGTACTAATAAAATCATATCTTTCTTTCATAATCATTTTAAAATAGATTGTTTATGCTGCCTTTACTGATGAAGAAAATTGTGAAGATCGTGAAATTCGTTGGTTATCTTATTGTTTAGCAATTGCTTTTGCATTCGGTTATTTACTTCTTTGTTCATCTCATTAAACATATTGGAATAGTTCTGAATTATAGCTTTCAGCAGTATATATTCGATATAGATATTCTGCGTATTTAATTATTATATTATCTGTTATTAGTTTACTTTCAATGAGTCTTATTCTTTGGCAAATCGTAAATATAAGCGTTTCTGTGATGAGAAATTGAATTTATCTCTAAACAGTATTTTCGTAGGTTTATTTCAATCCACAATCCAAAGTAAATTCTGTTAAACAACATAGATCGAAAAAGTGCAGTCGTTGTTTATGACTGAATGATAGTATTTCTTGATTATTACGTGCATATTGTTATTTATTATCTATTATCTATTTTTGTGTTTATACGATTTTCTTTCGATTTTGTGAACAGAATCAGCTTATTCCTTTTGCATTTTTCGAATTTTTCTATATCGATCGTTGTTGCTTTATATCATTAAGAAAATTTCCTGCCGTATTCTAGATATTTTTTAAATTGAACACGACAACAGCTGAAGACTACAGTGTTGAGAAGTATAATTTGATTAGCTTTTAGTAAATTTCTTGGATTCTTTTTACTAAAAGCTAAAACAACTTCAAGCTGAACGAAAACATCTGAAAAAAGAACAAAATGATCTTGAACAGCAGCAACCAAATTTCTGATATCCAATTGATAAAGATCGTTGGCCCTTCGAAATCATTTATTTGTAATGTACAATTCGAGCAAAATCTGATCTAGTAGAATTTAAGCAAGAAAATTTTGGAACGGCTGTAAGCTTTTTATTTCTTTTAATTTAAAAGCTATAAGTGAACTATTAAAATGCATAGTTTTCCAACAAAAAGAAAAACATAAAAAACGCTCAACAAGAATTTCTTTTCTTATTTGAGTCATGAAGTACTTGACAACAACAACAACTCACAACATCAGGTCTAATCAATACTTGAGATTCATCAAATATGAATGTTCTAACATTGAATCAGTAAATGAAGAAAATATTCATTTAAAAAATGAATTTTTTTAAATTTATGACCACAAGAAGAACAAATAAAAGTCGTCGTCATGTAAGACAAAGAAAAATCTATCGCTTTTTTTCTCTCATCCACAACGTCGTTTTATTGCAATGATTTCCATTCCTTGGGATGCAAGCGTTCTTGTTCGATGTGCTACAAGTAATTTGTTTGTAAAACAACAAACCTTTAACTATTATTCCTTTAATTTAATTTAAATAGTAGTTATGCGTATCTTTCTATTTTCTTGCCTGTTTATTTGTGAAGTGTTAATTGCACCTGTGAGAGAGTCATCATCCATGAGCTAGAATATAGAGTGTATACGAGAAAATTAATTCTGTTTCTGATCCTATCCTCACGAGATCAACTTGGTTCATATGTCAATAGCTGCTTTATGTAAGCGAATATACATATTATAGTCGATCGAAACGATTCACTATCTTCAGCACTTGCAAGAGCATAGCTTAAATGTTAACTGTTTGATATCTGAGCAACGTGCTCGTGTTTTTCTTATATTGATTAGAAAGTATTGATGACTTTTATTCCCATCATAAGCCGGCAGTAGTAGAAACTGATGGAGTCGGATTATCTATACTAGACATTTTTGGATATGGCAATCATTATATATGTCACTTCCTGTCATACTCTGATAAAATCCAATGCTTACGTCAACAATAGAAAAAAATAGAGATAAACAAGAGATATTTCATCCATGAATAATAACATTTTGTTCTAAGCAAGAAAATCTCATTTGGATTAATTGAATCGTTTGATTCAAATCCGTTGTAGAAGAAAAGATCGTGCCAAAAATACTGTAGAGAGTAACGAAATAAATCATATTAAATTCGGCAAACACGCTTGAGTGAAAGCTTTCAAATTCTAGTCGTATTAAGAACGAAGTCGAATTTCTACGACAAACAATTCGTCATATTCATGATTACTAAATCTCAACTGCGTCAATAAATGACGACTTCATTTCTCTAGATTTTTCTTTTTGTCAGTAGACGAGTAGATTTTGTACTTATTTAGGACTTACGAAAATCGAACAAAAACTAGCCAATGTGCAAATTGAATATTTATGGCAATGTAAATTTATTTTTTCTATGTTTTTTCTTCTCGTAATTCAGTTTTTTTTATTTAGGTTATAAAATGAATAATGACCCCGAAGATGAAGAATTCGACAGAATCGCCGAACAATGGAATAGTGACGATATCAGATGGTATTGGGATTTAGATGTTAGTATAGATCTTTTACACAAAATCCATATTCACGTATTATGTGTATTTTCAGCAATGGTTTCTCTGCGAACGAGTAGCTGATGATCAAGTTGAATACCAACAGCAACAGACACGAATAGCTGTAGCCTAATTACAATATAAATCTTCTCTCTTTATATGTGATGCGTTAATACTGTTCATTTTTTGTATACAAAACAGAGACGTGCACAGCTTGGAGCGTGAGGTGAAAACGCCACAGTTGAATCTAAAACATTTCTTTTCAAATCGATCATGGTACTCTCCATCGACTCAAACCAATTTCCGAAAAGGCATTTTTGAAAGGTTTCAGTTTCAAGATAATTAAAATGAAAAGCAGGAAGAAAATTTAGGCTCCATTTTATGTGGTCAGATGTAAAACAGTTGACATCACAGCTGACGATGGATAATGAATCATCTAGATAATTAAGCATTCAATCGATGAAATAATCTTGTAATGACGAATATCATTAAGGTTAGTTTTCAGTTAAGCTTAAACTGTGATCAACTAATCTAGGATAACGGAACTTTTCTATTCATGACGCAAACAAATGTTGATTGAAATAAATCTTAAATAAACGGACGAAAAATACAACTCAACATTAATCTTAGAGTCGATTATTCTTTTGATTCTGAAACTCGATTATTTGACATAGTCGATATTCGTGCTTCGCATCTTATTTCGGTTTCTTTCTAGATACACATGTATCCAAATTTCATATGTCGCGATGCGATGATCTCAAGAACGGTAAGGTTGCTGCAATTCCAAACTGGAGCACACTTTGTTTTGAATTGCAGCAACCTGAACTTTGACAAATAATCTTGTGGTTTTATTTTCGGTACTTCTTTTTTAGAAAACATTAACGTATCTATAAACAATAAAATTATTCGAAAAAACTGCAACAATAAATAAAAATAATTTCAAAAAAAGAAGATTATCAGGAAAATTATAGCCATTATGTAACATGCCATTCAGAGTTCTGACCGGAACCATTAAACCATGAGATCGATACAAAGGCTTTAAATCAATTTTGACAAATTTTCAATATTAAACTTTTGACATGAAAGACGGCGGATATTTCAATAGTTAACTAAGACTTTTTATCGCAAAAATGTACAAAGATAGTTTTTTCTATCTAAATTCAACAATTTTTCTGCGCATTTAAAGATTTGATGGTTTCAGTTTCAAGAAATTCTAGAAAGTCCGTTTCTGTACGATTGTCACCAATTGAAATAAATTCTCGAGTTGCAACAGATTCTCATGCGTGTTATCTAATTTTGTGAAGCAATACTCTTTTAGATTAATCCAAGAACGCGCTAATCACAGTTTCTGTTTGATCCTTTTCACGCCTATTCAGAAAACACTTTAAAAAGCAACCATTGTATCGAGAAAGAATCGAGTGTTTCGATTTTCGTAATATTTTAGCACATTTTTCAAAGAGAAAACGCCACTTTTATATCTATTCTGTGTAAAAAAAATGTTGTGGAAAATAGTTTTGAGTATTTGGCTGATATAAATATTACCTTTTTAGAGTGTTTCCATCTTCCAGAATCAGAATCAGAGGATCCCGCTTCCACACCGCATCCCTCATGATTAAAACACATTTTCAAAAATTCTTCTCTACTGGAGTATTTAGAAGAAATTTCAAAAAAGCAGTAAATAAGAGGTTTTTACTCTTAGCTTATTCATTCAGTACAACGAAAGACATTGTTTTTCTCAAGCTTAGCTAATTGATCAATATTTTAAATTGTTTAGAAGGAACATAATTAAAATAATTTAAAAAAATTTCAAGTTTTCGTTCGACTTGTTGGTATTTAATTAATCGAAGAAAAATTCACTATTTTTTGTAAGTTTGGAAAAAAATATGAAAATGCGGAGTGGGAAAATCTTTTTTTTTATGTCAATATCGAGTAATTATTTAATCTTGCCACAATTGATTCATGTTTTTTCTCTTGTAAAATTGTGGGTTTCCTTGTTGAAAACAATTATAATGAACATCAAGAAGGATACGATTTGATAAAGACGTTATTCATTTTATAGATTTAAGAATAGATATGATATTGATCCATTTTATCTCCTGGAAAATAATCGATATAAGATATTATTTCATTATGTTCAAGATTTTTTAATGTCCGTTGAATATATTAATTTAATCGTAAATCAGTGAAATGATTAACATATGCATACGAATATAATATTATTTTCCAAATTATATCTATCAATAAATTATTTATGAACGATGCACATATTCAATAAAAGTTCTTCGCGATTCATCATTCGATGTAGAAGTGACATGAGCATTTCATTATAACCATATATATATATATATATATGCAATACCTAATGATTAACTCAATGTAAAAAAATAAAGAATATCAAAGGTTGGTTAAAACGACCACCAAGAAGATAAAAACAATCAGAGAAATCGTTCACATTGTGATATAGAATTTCTTCAAAGTCAAATATGTGAAATGTTAATCGTTCTGTACAGAGTTGGCAGCCTGGATGTAATGTACTGGTCATTTTTCTAGAAGTCAACTTGACCAATAAGATAGTGCTACAAATTAATATGTTTGTCATCAAAGTTTATCCAACAAATCCATTCGATTCCAACAACTACTACTGAAATAGAACAATAGTTTGATATTTGCAAGATTTACTTTAATGATCAAAAGAATCTATTTAAGATCCTGAATAATCAGATAATATACTTTGCATTCATGCTGCTGCAAAATTAAATACTCGATTGTAAGTTGTCTTCCTGTTATTAT